CTCTCTCTCTCTCTCTCTCTCTCTCTCTCTCTCTCTCTCTCTCTCTCTCTCTCTCTCTCTCTCGTATCCAGAAGGAAGTAGAATACTGAGCGATGGAGGATGGAGGAGGTCCGGAGGAGAGAAGAAGAAGAAGAAGGAGAAGAAGAGTCCCCTTCTCTCTCTCTCTCTCTGCTGATACCAGATACTGACCATGCAAAGGTGTTGCCTTGACGCTGATACTGGAGCGCTGAAGACGAAGCTGGAGGTATGGCGCCCCCAGGTGATTCATCAGGTAAGTCCCAGTGTCTGGCCTCTATCTCTGCCGCTGCAGTCTCCACTGCAGCCTCCACACTCACCACCTCTGGCCTTCCGCTATTGCGCCCAATGCTGAAGACTAATACAGCATAATGCTGAATAGTAGCTCACACTAACCTACAGAGTGAGAAGCAGACCAGTCTGTAAATACTACTGGTCTGGCCTCTCCTAGGTCCTACTCGACTAAACGTGAGGCCCAGAATGAATGGCCTGGAAATCAATCAGGCCGTACACTTGGATCAAATCCGACGGTCCAAGTGTGGCGTGGAAAAACAAAGGAGGCCAGGGCCTGCTGGTACCAGGGCCTGGCCAGGCCGAACCTGGTGTGGGCCTAAAACGGCTCTTTTTCTGGCAACCAACACAGGCCCTACTTCTGGCGCCCAAAACTAATTCGCCAGACCGAAGCTGAGTCCCTACCCCTTCTTACCTACCTGACAGGTCCTGCTGGGCCTGTGTGGGGATCTACATCTGCCMCCCCCCCCCCCCTCCTTGAAAGACCGAGTCTACCGGCGAGGGCGGCGCTATCGATTGGAGGGTGGAACTGTAGGTGGGATGGTTAGGTTTCTGATGTGAAGCTTCGGTAGCCAAGTGTTGGCGCTCGTAGTCGGCGTAGATGTCTAGTCCAGAAGTCCTTAAAGCATCCCGGAAAATCCACCGTGTGTCGTCGCGGTCACGGTGTCGGAATCTGACTTTGTACTGCGTCGGCTTGTTGCCGTAGTGGCGGTGTGCGATGACCCACTCAACCTCTTGGTGGCCATCCATTGAAGGAGGGTCCTGCAGTCCTCGATCCAGAGAGTCATTGCTCTTAGCTGGCGTATAGGTAGCTAGCTTCGAAGCTTGAAAGATGGGATGGACCGGCAGATGAGGCGGAATGTCAATCACGAAAGACGGGCCGTCGGGCTGATCGCCAGCTGTGGACTGAACGAGCCAAGGCCCAAACCATTTAGGGAGGAGCTTGCAAGAGACATCACGTTCCAGCACAAACTCCTCGGAGGAGACCCAGACCATGTCGCCTTCACGGATGGGGCAAGGTACGCGACGCCGGTTCGCTTGCTGCTGCATGTGGACCTGAGCCTTTTGCATGGTTGCACGGGCTTTGGCCAGCAGCTCCCGCATCTTCCGAATGGAGGCGGGTGTGCAAGGGGTGTCAGTGTCGGCGGCCTGCGGAAGAAGAAGGTCAGCGAAGATCCGTCCTTTCCGACATCCATGGTGAAGCTCAAATGGAGTGATGCCAATCGCCGGATGCAATGACGTGTTGTAGGCGAACTCTATGTCAGGAAGACGGTCAACCCAGTCCTTTTGATCCGGTCGGATGAGCGTGCGGAGCATCATTTGGGCGGTTTGATGTGCCCTCTCCGTTTGCCCGTCTGTTTGTGGATGTCGAGCGGAACTTGCTTTCATGGTGGTGCCGGACTCCTTCCTGAGAGCAGTCCAAAAGGCCGACATTAACCGAGTGTCATGGTTGCTAACGATGTCCAACAAGACGCCCTGGTTGCAAATCCAGCCAACGTGCAAGGTCCGTGCAAGCTCGGCAGCGGTAGCATGGTACTTGCATGGGAGGAATCGAGCACACTTGCTTAACTGGCCAACGGCCGTAAGAATGTCGTCGTGACCGAAGCGGTTCCAAGGAAAGGGGCCAAAGACATCCATAGCAATGGAGACGCCGGGTTCGCGCGGAATGGGCAAGGGTCGTAACTCGCCGTACGACTTGCAATTGCCGGGTTTGTTCCGTCGACAAACTTCAAATGACTCGCAATACTTGAGAATGTCGGTCTCCAAGGCGGATCATCAGAACTTGGACCGCATTCGAGCGATCGTGTGATTTGCTCCAAGGTGACCAGCGAGGCGCAAGTCGTGGTACTCGCCGAGAAGGCGAGTTCGAAGCCAATGATCTTGAGGCACGTTCAGTTGGTCCTTGCCTCGAGTGTGAAGGATCAAGTAGCCATCGACGATACAATAGTGGCTTGCCGGTGGGTTCTCCGAGAGAGCTGCTCATAGAGTGGAACGTACTCGGGGTCGGACTTGTAGCCTCGGATGAAGTGGTGTTGGAGATCCTCACCGAACGCGAAGGCACGGTGTGTCATGGCGCAAAGATCGGGTCTTCGCGAGAGTGCATCAGCTGTGCGATTGGAGAGGCCTGCAAGGTGTTTCGGTGTGAAGTCAAGCTGGTCGATGAAGTACATCCATCGTCCAATAGTGCTGCGCACCGTGTCTTGTGTTTTATAGTAAGTCAACGGGTTGTTGTCTGTAACCCATGTGAACCTACGACGCCCAAGGAGGAAGTGCCACCATCGCTTGAGAGCCATCATGAACGCGAGCAGCTCTTTCTTCCTTACATCGTCAATTGTGTTGATGGAGGGCACCTTGTGGCTGAAGTACTCCACGGGATGCCAATCCTCGCCGTCGTGCTGTTCCAAGACTGCCCCAATGCCGTAGCTGGAAGCGTCGGTTGTCACTCTCGTCGGCAACGTGGGATCGTAGATGCTTAGGACGGGTGTTATGAGCATGGTCGTCTTGAGTGCTTGGAAAGCATGGTGAGCTTCGTTGTTGAATTCGAAGGGCACCTTTGTTGGTGATTGTAATCGTGTCAATGGTGCCACAATTATTGAATAGCCAGTGATGAAGCGTTGGTAATAGCCGACCAATCCCATGAACGATCGGACGTCTGTGGTGTTGGTGGGCTCGGGCCATACACGGATGGCCTCGATCTTGTCCGCGAACGGACGGATGCCATGTGGCATCACATAGTGACCTAAGTACTCGAGCTCTTCCTGAGCGGAGTCGCATTTGTCGGGGTTGGCCTTGTGCTTAGCTTTCCGTAGCCACTCCAAAACGGTGCATAGGTGCTCCACATGCTCATCCAAGGTTCGACTATACACCAGAATGTCGCCGAGGTAGATGAGCATGGACCGGTCCAACAGACTGGAACTCCGTCGTCATGGCCGCTTGGAAGGTGGCTGGGGCATTCGTAAGGCTGAAAGCCATGACCAGCCATTCAAAATGCCCATAACGCGTCTTAAACGCAGTTCTGTAACAGTCTCCTTGTCGGATCTCAATTTGGTGATACCCTGATTTGAGGTCTAACTTGGAGAAGAGCTTGGCGCCGCCCAACCGTTCGAGGAGATCATCGATTCGTGGAAGGGGCCTGACGTTCTTCACGGTTTGTGCATTGAGCTT